TAGTTAGCATTTAGTTGTCATAAAATTAAACAACTTCTCGTTTCGCATTGGCTAAAAAATAAAGTTCAAATGAAAAATCACGTGTTTTTTTTTACTTTTACCGTCACTCGTATAAATTAAAACCAGCGCGTCGAATTCAAGTGCCGCTCATCACAAGACCGAGCGTGCGTGAGGTGGGACCAGGGGCCACGCGATATTCGTTGTGTCCTACTAAACTAGCACCTCTAAACCCAGAGATCAGCGGAATTAATCTAGGCATCGATAACGGGAGAGAGAGACGATGGCCATCCTCTACGCACAATAAAAGATACGCGAGTGGGCACGCGTGAGTTTTGCTCTAACGTCAACGCAGATTTTATAACTGCAAGCAAAAACAGTGGGGCAACGAAATCGGCTCGAATTCCAACTATTTATAAGATGAATCGCCAAAGGGTCTACGAAAGATTACTTTGGGTGAGGATCTAAGGATGCAAGATTAACATGAATAATAATTATGTTGTAACAGTAGTGGTATTTTTAGTGAAAGAACAGTTTTATTGCCACATAAAACAAGGTATAAATACGCCGGACTCCTGCTGGACTAGTTATATTTTAAACTCCCCAAATGTGGAAGTAAAACTAATCATCCTTATTAACTGCAAGTTTTGGTGCAAAAAAAAGTAAAAAAAAAAACAACACATCACTCGGCAGGATATCAGTCTTTTGACTTGCTGTTGTACTCAATTTTGTATTTTTCTCTTGTTATAGCTTTCTTCTTTGTGTGTCTGTCAGCTTGCAAATTTTCAAAGTGTGACATTCCCCATTCAAGTGCCGACGAAGACACAGTTATGGCCTGATGCGGCGGCGAGTCGAATTTCAAATAACCACACGCTCGTGGGAGGCAAACAATCGTGCGTTGTTTAAGAAGAGTAATTTATGTATACCCATGCAAGTGGGTGATCCATTTTCGCTTGTGCCAACACTTGCTTCATCGCGTATACAAACGCCACGGCTTTTAAAAGAAAATGCCACAGGAGTGCCAGGGCAGTTACTTTTGGAGTTCTATAGTTTCATTGCATCGTAATAAAAAAAAAAAAATCTGGGAGTAAATCTAACTTTTAAATTGTTATATGTAGATTCAATTCTAAATCTAGACATTCTACACAAAAGATAAGTCATTAAATAATCATACTAACTATTCTTAATAATGCTAGTTATTAAATCAATTAATGAATTATTTAATTAAAAATAAAAATTAAAAATCTAGAGAATAATTCCAATCAAAAAAGTATTTTTGTGGATTTGTCAATTTTTGAAAACAAATTCAAATTCATTTAATAATTTTTATGCACTTATTTTATGAACTTGATGGGAGTGGGCTTGGATTTTTTTTGCAATATGGACCGTTTGCAAGAGAGGAACAACGGCAAAAAATAAGCTTGTTTTATCCGGTCAGCGGAGACAGAGCGATAGAGACAAATAGAGAGCAGGTTTTGGTCTTTGTGTCGGTCGATCGGAGGCCAATTAAAAGTGGGCCAGCGTCGTCAGGATCGCGCACCGCTACGATGCACTCGCGGGATTGCTCACTTTATGCATTCGCCGCTTGCTCGTCTGCACTTTTATTGTGTACTTGATGTAGCGGCTAATTGCTGCCGAGCGATTTTCTGGTTTCATCCCCGCGCGGCCACAATGTGGGCCAAGGGGAGGAGCTGATCGCGGCGCTATAAATTTACTTTGACAACTATACACCTACTATACGTACCAGCATCAGCATAGGTCACATTTTTTTCTCAATTTATGCGTGTATGCAAAAAAGGTTACAGGAGATTTGTATAAACCAGTTTTTTAGTTGTGCTCTTAATAGACCTCACATTCTCACGCAAGAAAATCAAGTTTTTTCAACCATATTTGTAGTCATGGGTCAAATCATAAGTAAAATGGAATTTATTTTTAATTTTAACGAATTTTTTTTTTTTGAACAATAAAATTTTTTTATTCCTCAAAAAATTCTATTTTGTGTATGATTCACGAATAAAAATAACTTTTTTCTGTTGAAGACCATCCTGACATGTTTTGCGTTGATTTTTTATTTTCCTATTTTGTTTGTATGAAAATCAAATTGATATATTAGGGTAGAGCAGGGCAGAGATTGCCCATCGATATGTCAATAAACTGAATTTTGCAGTAGATTTTGATCTTCAATTTTCAAATGCATCCTCATTACATGAATTTATTTAGAAATATTACTGCTGGATTTTTGGTCGGTTACACAGTAATTAAAATTTCAAGCTAAAAACTAATTAACTCTAACATCCTATTTAATTGAACTTTGATTGCAAGTTAATTACACAATTAACCAAATGGATGATTAAAAGTTCTTGTGCAATTTTTCCTTTTCATTATTATTGCCTTTTGCTGGTCTAATGAATGAAATTACGATTTATAGATCTCCAATTTCCCTTTCGATGCATTTTTTCGGAATGCTTTTTATTCCGCTCGAGAGCAAACCACTCACGCCGTCGCCTTAATTTTCTCCATAGAGTCTTGATCGCGCGTGAGACTAATTCCCGCGCGCAATTCTGTGTCATTCTCCAGCGAAATTCCTCTCAGCTTAGGTGAATTGATTTTCATACTCTTTCGCACGAAATCGACCGCAAATTAATTTTCACCGCGAGTTCAAGAGCGTTTTCTCACAATTAATTCGCCGGCTTATAATTAGAGAGCGTTCGAAACCACAAGCGAAGCCGCCACCAATGTCGGAGAACACGATGGGAGATATGGTTTCGAATGCAACGCTGCATCAGCTGCGTTTTTGTTCCTATTTTCACCATCGCCATGTAATCGTGAAAAGGATTATTTCGTTACAATTGACAATTTCTGGGAAAATACATCAAATAAATAATAAATTTTATATTTTAAAAAGCATTACAATCAAGAAATTGCTGATGTTTGACTTATGATTTAAAATTAAACAATTTTTAATGAATCAAATTTTTAAGAAACTGAGATTAATTATTGAAATGTTTTGCCTCTACAAATTGGTGATAAAGTTAATTTTGTTTTTAAATTTACGGAATTTTTAGTTTGGATTATTTTGAATAAAAAAATCAATTCAGCAATTTCAATTTATGAATTTTAACTTTTTCACTGCTTAATTTACTGCTCATGCAATGAATTTTGTATGGCAAGAAAGAACTGCTTCAGAATTTCTCATACTTTTTACTCGTAAATGGATTAATTTTCTTCTACTGCTAAAGCAACGAGTCATCTCACGACACTTAATTTTTCCGCCCCAGAGCGTCCTGACGCGTCTTAATCAGCAAAATGAATGCACAGTGTCAAGAAGAAATGCAAAGAGCAATTGCAGACAACGTCGCGCGGTCGAGTGCAACAGGTTTTTTCTTTATCCTGTTGAATTTAGCGTTACTTTCCGCAGCTATTTATTAATTTCGTTTGTGTGCCAGGCTAGCGAGTCAAGCGTGCACCACCTCACAAAATTTCTGCTGTCCGTTCTCCGCTTTTTGCCACCGTGATCCATGGTGTGTGAATGAAAAAGCTTCCTCACCGCGCCTTTCTCTCCGCGACTGACCGACCGACCCTTCTGTGCCCATTTTTGCAACAAACGGAAATGACAGTCAGAATAATTAATGAATATTTGTTTTTGTATAGCAGATTTGTACTTTGGAATTTGAATTTGTTATGGATTTCTACGTTTCTGAAGAAGAAAGTTTGCATTGTATCTCCAGCGCTTCCTGTTTGTCAATTAATTTAAGGCGACTCGTCCACAAAACAGGTTTTTTATTCATTTAGCATGAAAATTTCAACTTTTAAATCAAAGGATCAGTTTGTGCATAAAGATAAGAGCTAATATTTAGGATTCATAAACATAAGTCCATTAAATTTTTTGAATACAATTTTCATTTTAGTTTAATTTTGTTTTATTCTAAATAATTATCTTAATAATACTGTTTATTCTGTCAATCTGGCATTTTTTTTTTAATTATTTTGATTAAACCAAAATTTCTTCCACTATTATTATAATTGTTGTAAATATAAAAAAAGGCATTACTTTTATAATATGTTTAAATTTTCCTTGTCTCAATCTGTGGCCTCAAGGTTGTCAGGAGATCAATAAATAATTATTATTTTTACTTAAAAATTATAAAATTACGAGCAGTACCATTGCATATGTGTTCAGGTTTTTTTGGAGTTCTTTCTGGTTTTAATTTGACAGTGAAATTTTTTCATGTGCGTTATTTCATCAAGGAACGGTAGTCTCACAGTTGGCACACATAAATCTTTACGAGAGTTAAAGTTATGAAAATTGACATCATTTCTTCTCCATATATGAAGGTGGTAGTTAAATTTAATGAACGTAAACTGCACTCCCGCAACGATTTTACCAGACCCGTATGATTTGCTTAATTAATATTCAACATCTCACTCTAGATGTCGTTATAAAATGTAAAAATACTGAAAATGTGTGAATATATCTCATTTAGGTTTTAAAAATTATTTTGATAAATGGGCAGTTTAAGGAGTTTAAATTAATTAGCGTTAACTTTGTGTGCAGTTTTTTTTCATGCTTAATCGAAGTCAACTTTTTGGAACACTTACTTTTAACAATTTAATTATTAAAATTAGATTATGTGGTTCATTTCATTGATAAAAATAATAAATTAATGTAAAATCTTTACACATCGACTTCAACGACTGATTGCAGCCATCTCCTGACACACTAATGATATGAGCAAACATTTATAATAATATTTTTTTTTTTATATATAAAGCAAATTAATTAATAAAATAGGTTTTAACTTCTAATAACAGTAAATTAAAAAATATTGCCAAATCATAAAAAATTTAAATATATAATATAAAAAATTTTATAAAAAATATATTATATTAAAGTACATAAAATTTTACTTTGAAACATTGAAAATATCATTATCTAGTTTATTATTTAGAGCAAAGTGCATATTTAAACAATATTACAATTAAAATTTTGCTAATATTCTTACCTTGACGTGTTGTCATCATCAGAGTTGAAAGAGCTTTGCGAATTGTTGCGTCTCCTCTTCTTCCTTTTGCTCCTGGTGAGGGTGGTCGTGCCCTTGGCCGCGTCCACCACATTGTGCCAGTAGCGGTGCGCGAGCCACAGCAGGAAAACCACCCTGCCAGCCTCGGCGGTGCTGGGCTGTCCGGGGCGCAGGGGCTCCTCGAAGCTCTGGTTGTTGCCCATGCCGGGCTCCTCGTTGCTGAGGTCTTGGGTCGAGCACCGGCCGCCGACTGACTGACAAAGTGCACGGCTCTGTGTACCACTGGGTCGTAACGGGAAACCACTCGTAAGCTCTCAGCAGGCTGAAAGAGCAACCGATCAACAGCTAGAACATGCGGCAATAATATGAAACACATTTATGATGGTTGGCTAAGGTCTGAGGTAAAAATTGAAGACTGTCAAAAGCAAAAATTTAGATTGCAAAAGTTAAATTGGTAAAATTGAATTATATTTTAAGGATAAATTAGCTTGTGAAGAAAACCACCCCGCAATTATTGTTCAACAGTCCTAGTGCTTCAATCTTTCGTGTAAATTTTTGCTTAATTTTGCGGAGATATTGCGGCTTTTGATAATTAGAAAAGTTTTAGTTAAAATATTTTAGTGAACTGACAAAATTATTCAAATTGTAAAAAATGAATTATATTTTAATGCAAAATTATCAGTGAATAGACCAACTTGGCAATTATTGTTTATCAGTCCTAGGGCTTCAATCTTTTGTGTAAATTTTTGCTTAATTTTGCGGCTTTTGATAATTAGATAAGTTTCAATTACAATTTTTTAGTGACACTAACAAAATTATGCAAATTTTAAAAATTGAATTTTATTTTAATACAAAATTATCGCTGAATAGACCAACTCGGCAATTATTCTTGATCGGTCTTAGGGCTTCAATCTTTCAAGGTAAATTTTTACTTAATTTTGCGGAGATATAGCGGCTTTGGATAATTAGTAAAGTTTGAATCAAAATATTTTAGTGACCCTGACAAAATTGTGCAAATTGTAATTAATTTTATTATATTTTCATGCAAAATTCCAGTTTCCAGCCCTTTGTATGGCGTACTTGTGGCAAAATCCGAAAATCTTAATACAAATGTACGTAGTCACCTGACCAATGGCTCCAGTGGCTGGTGCGCTCTTCTCAAAGGAGATTGCGCCGTGCTTTAGCAATTTGTTTGATAGTTAAGAGACATTTCTCCATTCAAGCTTCTAACCAACATCCTTCACATGGATTTTCAGTGTTTTATATTTAGTCGCTGTTTATTGACGATGTAAGATTTTTTGTATTTCATTGTATCTGAATGGAGAATAAATATATAAACAAAATAAAAAATTGAAGTGACACTGATGAAATTATATGAAGTTGAATAATATTTTAATGCCAAATTAACTGTGAATAGAATAACTCTGCAATTATTATTAAACAGTCCTTGTGCGTCAATCGATGGGGGTTATTTTATTCTTTAATTTGTAGACATATTGTGGCTTTTGAATTTTAGAAAAGTGTATATTGAATTATTGAAGTGACGCTCAATTCAGAAATTGCAAAAAAATTAATAAGATTTTAATGCTAAATTTGTAAATCAGCTATGAAAATATCCACATAGCAATATTTTATTATTAAACAGTCTTTGTGCTTCAATCTTCTCAATCGTGTTTTTTGTAATTCCAGTCCACCTATATAATAATTTCCATGTGTCCAGTTTCTTAAAACAATCCAAAACTTTCATTGTTTAACAGCCTTTCAATATTTTTCTTGGTGTTTACATTGTTGCATTTTGTCTTCATATTTGTGTTTGTTTAGCCTTTGATCAAAATTCCCGTTATTTGCTTCTATTTGTCTAAATTTCATGTCGGACTTCGAAGAAATCAAAATTCAGGGTGCGTCTTTACTTATAGACTTGATTCCACCGGGGATTGATGCGTCGTCATGGATTCTGGCGCACAGAGAAGTATTTGATAACAAAGTTCACGAGGCCTATGGAAAATATTTTAAGACTGACAGAGAAGAGATCAAGACCGCGAAATTTGGAAGGCGAAATTTCGATTGCATCGTGAAGATGATTGACACGGGTAAATTTAATCACACTTTAAATGAAATGTAATTTGTTATTTGCATTTTTTAATTTCTTAATGCACCATGTTTAAAGGTCTTGCTTTGAAAGACAAATCTAAAGCTACAGTAGAAGCAGTGCTCAATGTCCGACTTTATGAGCATTATAAAGCGGTAAAATTTGTCAACTCTTAGCCAGCACGCAAGAGGAGAAAACTTGAAGATCCACCGGTGGTCGAGATGCGAGCGGAAGGTAAATATAACCAACCATGTTTCAATTTACTTTCTTTTCCTATATGTAACGTTGCATCCGTGTAGGAATGTTTGCAAATTTTTAAATAATGACATTTTTTTATCGCAAGCCCGCACAGCTTTTAAACCAAAATTTTTGCACAAACCGACCCCGCCTGCCGCACAAAGATCGGAGCCAGCGGGTCCCTCCACTCAAAAAACCTTCATTTATCCGTTTTTATGCCTATTTTGGCTGACTCGGTATTTTTGGCCGAGCACAAAAAGTAAATCAGACTTAATTAATTATGCGCCTCGTAGGTCAATTTGCAAAGCGGGAACAAAAAGGAAACTTATTTTTCTGCCTGCAAATCTGACTGGCCTGCGAGCTGCTCTGCTGTCAGTTAGCACTCGCTTCGCTGCTACGTTGATTGAAGCGCGAGACATGATGCGCAAAGAAAGACTAATCGAATTTGGGCTTTAGACGTGTCCGATTACTTCAATTATTTTCACGGAGAAAAACGGGAACGAGTTTAGCAACCCAACATAGTTGTCTCAACGGAATTATTCAATCGCTCTGATTGAAAGTTTTAGAATTTTAACGAAGGAAAATTTAAAATTTCTAAAATATTTAAATATAAAGGAAAATTGCGGTGCAATTTATTATTCGATCTGAGCAGTCGTTGTCGCGATACGCTATGAGCATAAATATACGCGCCCGCCTCTGCATTTCGCTTCGCGGCTCTCTCGCTCGACTGCTGCACTCAAGGCAGAGAGTGGCGAGTTTGACTCGTTCTGGAAGTTTGCGCGAATTTATATTTTAATGAGCTAGCGTAGAAATAAAATTTTCAAATTTTCAGCACTAATAGCTAATAAAATGTTAAAAAAATTCTTTTGCATTCTTCAGGGATTATTGACTGCAGCTGAGCTATTACCGCTTTCGCGAGAATTTTGTAATGTACTTTAATTTATAAAATAGAGTAAGAAAATTTAAAAATACAAACTCTAACAGTAATATGTAGCTTATTAAATTCTCTACAATTTCTTATTAGGCTTTGTGTCTTAAATTTTGTTTATTTGCTTATAAAATGATCAAAATCAAAATAATACTTTTTCTCATTGAAACAATTTTTTCTGAGAAAGCCAATCGATTGCAAATTTAATTTAAACTTGGGTGCTCAAATTTCATCAAAATGTGTTGAGCCATTTTGGAATACGAGCGTACGTACTAAAATGTAAATGGGCGAAGATTTTCTTTCTTCTGCTCCAGACCAAATGCATTCAGACTACGCGCTATGACTTAATGCATTCAATCTAAATCAGCGCATTTTGATTTTCATCAATATTCATAAAAAATAATTTATTAATTTTCGGGGGGAAGCGTTTGTTAAGAAGGCTCACAATAACTATTAAATTTTAGTAGAAACTTGTAGATTTATTTTTCTTATTATTTGCAAGCTTAAATTACATTGCATTTTTTTTTAGTTCGATTTGTAGCTCAAAGCACAAAAAAATCCCCACCATCGGCTGCAGTGAAATACGAGGGTAAAAAATATTATATAATATATTATTTTGCAGTTAATAATCATTGGTTTTATGTACACAGAATTGCAAGGAGAAGTAGGAGAGTCGATGGAGAGGTACGTGAAACCTCCGAACAAGCTGCAGCTTCAACTCCTCAGCGAAAATGAAATTTGCAACAGAAGGATTCCAAAAACGATATTTCATGGGAACTGCGCCAATTCGACAGCTCTAAATTTCATTATGGCTCCATTCATTTTGTTTTCAGTATGATTTTTTTCCAATTAAATATTAAGTTAATCAATGTGAATAACTTCCTAAAAATATTTTTTTAGGACATTCAGGCAACTAAATTTTTAATTGAAGATTTAGAAGATCGAGATATGGTAAAAGCGTTCAAGCACATGCTCTCCAACGATGGGATTGTTAGTCAATAGTCTGAGGCGAGCAGGGCTAGAGCTGTGCTTCGAATGTAAGTAAAAAAAGATTCAAATTTATTTAAAAGAAAACTCTTTTTTGATCATATATAGGAAGCCAGGAGTTGAGAAGGCAGCGAGAAACGGAGAAGCCACCAATGACGCCGTATGGGTCCAAAAGTTTGACATCAGAACATTGAGAGCAATGATCGCTGTTTGTGCAATTTGCGAAACTGCTCGGTCAGGACATAATTCAGGGAATATGAGCACACATGACTTCAAGCGACTCACCAACCCAGCGCTGAAGCAGACGGAAAAGTTTCATTGCGCAAATGTAATAGCTACTTTATATTAAGTTTTTAATTTTTATGAAGTATTGCTTTTTAATATTGCATTACAGTGTCAAGAAAAAACATCACATAAGCTAATATACAAGATTAAAAGCTCAGTTTTCGTTATTGCTTTGGACAGCGAAGAAAAAGAAATAATGAGGCAGTCACATATCTCCGACGCTGCCAAAATTCTGAAAAAATTCATCTCTCTTGGACAAAAGAATTGGAAATTTTGCGCAGCTAGTAAGTGTTGCAAATTTTTCCACACAAAAATTTAACAAGACTAAATTAATGAAAATAAAATGATATAAAGCATTATTTTTATATGTGCTCCGGTCACTTTGGTGTTTTTTTCTGGTTTTAATTTGATAGTCTAAATTTTTTCATGAGAGTAATTTCACCAAGGAAATATTCTTACCTTGACGTGTTGTCATCATCAGAGTTGAAAGAGCTTTGCAAATTGTTGCGTCTCCTCTTCTTCCTTTTGCTCCTGGTGAGGGTGGTCGTGCCCTTGGCCGCGTCCACCACATTGTGCCAGTAGCGGTGCGCGAGCCACAGCAGGAAAACCACCCTGCCAGCCTCGGCGGTGCTGGGCTGTCCGGGGCGCAGGGGCTCCTCGAAGCTCTGGTTGTTGCCCATGCCGGGCTCCTTGCTGCTGAGGTCCTGGGTCGAGCACCGGCCGCCGACTGACTGACAAAGTGCACGGCTCTGTGTACTACTGGGTCGAAACGTGAAACCACTCGTAAGCTCTCAGCAGGCTGAAAGTGCAACCGATCAACAGCTAGAACATGCGGCGTAATAATAAAATGCGACAAATACATATTATGATAACAAAATATTAAAAAAACATGTCAAATTCGTAAATTTTTTAATCACTCGTTAAACAATATAATTTCTCGGATGCAAGATTTTTAGGTAAAAAACGTTCAAATGACTGAAATGCATTGGCACAGAACAATCGGCATGATTCGGTATAATTCTAAAGAATTTGATAATGAGAAAATTCCCTATTAAAAAGAAAGCAAAGAAGAAAACCGTATTATTCTGGTTAGACTAAATTTTTTGCTTCTTGAAACTCTACTGCCTCTTAAAGTAAAAAACCGAATTTGACAGCTATTGACTATTAGCAGAAAAACATTAATTTGCATAGAGAAATTGGCATGATTCAGGGAATTTGCAAATAATTTAAGCCAATTGTGTGATAAGGCAAGTTTGAAAAACAGTATCACCGAGAAGAAGTTTCATCAGCTTGATTGTGAGTGAGGCTTCTGGCGATTCTAAATTTGAGCACAGGCCCCAGCTATAGGATAGGTTGATGGCGAGGAGCAAAATCAGGTTAAAATTGAGAAATTTGTACCTGGTGCCGCGGATGTAAAGATGATAAAATTGCGGACGACCGCCACTTGGAGCTTCACCGGGACTTTGTTGTTGCTGGCTTGCTGCTGTTGTTGATGTAAATTTTGGCTCTGGTGGTGACCATTCAGCCAGATCTCAAAAAGTTTCATCTCGAGGCTGTCGAGGCTCCTGGCGATAAAAAAATTTGAGCGCAGTCAGCGAGGAGCGAAGCGAAATCGTGTTCAAATTGAAAAATATACATACCTGGTGCCGCGGCTCGAACGACGATCAAATTGAGGACGGACGCCGCTTGTAGCTTCTCCGGAACGCGACTTCGCTGGTTTTTTTCGAATATAATCACTCATTTTAGGACCCATTTCAGAACTGGACACTTTAACACAACTGACAACATCACCTCTCTTTTTAAAAACAATCACTGACTCCGGCGACTCCGCCCCCTGATTTTCCGTCCGTTTGCTTTGCGCAACATAAAAGGGCGCGAATGCATATAATGCACTGATTAGTGGCAAGCAGCGCTTCCGAATTCTCTAAAATTTTGAAATAACAATTCCAAGTGGTTTCATGCATAGTTAAAATTGAATGCTAACACTCGAGGTGGTGGTTTAAAGTTATGGGGTATCCGCTAAAAAGTGCAATTATGCAATCGCGCCCTTTTTTGGTTGCGTAAACGGTGGGAAAATCAGGGGGCGGAGGGCGGAGTCAGTAATTGTTTATACAAAGAGACAGAGGTGATGTTGCGAATTTTAGTGTCAGTTCCTAATTCCGAAATGGGTCCCAAAATAAGTGTTTTTTTCAAGGAAAACCCAGTGAAGTCGGGTTCCTAGAGAAGCAACAAGCGGCGGCCGTCCTGAATTTGATCATCGTTCCACCTGCGGCACCAGGTATTCCTCAATTTTAACACGATTTCACTCGTCGCCAACTGTGCTCAAACTCAGTATCGCGATCGCGTATCGTCCAGGAGTCTGAAATTGATAAAACGGATAAAACTTTTCACCGGTGATTAATTTATGAACGTCAAATCTTTTGCATTATAATTAATTAAACTTTGTGTATCTTCTCAGGTTTTTTTTTAAATTAGTCCATAATTATTTATATTTTTGTATCAATCACTTTTCTATTAAATAAAATCACCATAAAAATAAGAATTTCATAATGATGTATACATATTAAGTTATCATTCTAGATAGTAAACTTTTCAAACTTGATTGTTGCGTGCATAACATCCATAGATTCCTCTCTAAAAACATGAAATCGTAACCATGGTGACGGTGCTTGGAAATTACTGTTCTTGTTGTGCTGTGCCATTATTGTTGTATTTTCAAACGGTGCTGAGAATTCATCGAACGGATCAGGCTTGAGGAAATTCTGTTAAATTTTTACGAAGAATTCAGCTCCGATTTTAAAATATACATCGCAGGTACATAACATATTATTCTGTAGATAATGTTCTTATTTTGAGCGCAATGAATTTCAAAAGTTTTACGTCATTTTAAGCTTAATGATTTGTTTTTAAATTTGAAAAACATGAATTCTTAACGAACTGATTTTACAAATTCCGTTCAAGTATGTGTTCGCGCAAAGTTCTTTGACAGTTTGGGTGGAGCAAGATTGAATTCGCCGTCAAAATTTTCAAAAAGCGGTAACAAAATTGCAAAATTCTTTCTCGGTTCACATCAATCTTATGTCAATCTCTTCGTTACTCGATTGATTTTGGTTCCGTTATAAGCATGAAGTGATCTAAATAGATGATTATTTTAAATTTATTTAAATACATGTGTATTGGTTTTTTATTTGAAGTCCGCCATGCAACTTATATGGAGGACTAAAGTAGCCTTTGGGCGAGACTGTGATTTTGAATCACCGTCGATATAATAATTTGAATTCTTATGGGTGGAGAACTTTGACGTAAGAATGATGCGAGACAGTCACAAATCTCAGATCCTGCCAAAATATTGAAAAATAATACCCTACTATCATCCCACCTCTTCGACAAAAGAATTGGAGATTCTGCGCTGCCAGTAAGTGGTGCAAAATTTTCCGGAAAAAATCAAATAAGACTTAATTAAAAGAATATTGTATAAAGCTTATCTAACAGAGCGAAATGCACTTCTTTTTTTAATTATATTTATTCCAGCCATGGGCGTTTTCGGACGTGGATTAGTACACGAAATTATGGTGAGCAGAGACAGTGATGGAGTGATAGAGGTGGTGTGTGATTCAGACCCGCAATTAGAAGATCAACCCTATGCTGAATATAGAGCCAAACTGCCAAAAAATATATTTTACGACTTATGCTGTATCTCATACATTCCATTCTAAAATTGTGAGAGCGTTCTTTTGATATGCAATATTATACTAACAATAAGCCTATTTCATTGTTTTGCAGAAATACACTTTCATCAGTTTGATACCAACCTTCTCGGCCTTTTTCCAAAAATCATATCCAAATTCATCACCCTCATTTAGGCGGGTCAGAATGAGGAGCCACACTGGAAACCAAAACGATCTAGGTAAATAACTATTCCAATATAACGTTGCGTTCATTTAGGACTTTTTTTTAAATGGTCTCAAATTTTCCGCTTGCCCACTTATCGTAAAAACTTTAATTCTCTCAAAAACGTCCACTGCAGCCGCTCAAAGATCGCGACCTCTTGTGCGCCTCAGCTCCCAATTGGAACTGGCGAGCCCCACTACGGTACGGCGTCAATTGACGCAAAATAACGCCCTCCTTGACCTGCCTTGATTACGGTGTTGATCCGTTGGTCCGGATCGGCGCCGCAGCCCCTAAACCTGCGTTTTTTTTTACACTTGACGCGCCAAACCCTACTTGTGTGCCACTCTGGACGAGCTTTCGGGTCTTATCGCTTCAGCGGATTCAGCGTAAAAATGAGCCCAAATGAGCCAAAATTTGCAGCGTGTACTTACAAATTTTTGTTCAAAAAATTTTTTCCTCTTTAATTACCAAAGTCTGTAAATTATGCAGGTTTTGGAAAATCAGCCCAGTCACAGACTTAACCTATAATTTTTAATTTTCTTGTTTTATTATTATTTTTTTTGTACATTCGTCGTAAATATTCTATTTGATATTATCGTTTCTCTTTATTTTAATGACACTAACAAAAACTGGAAAAAATGTAAGTGCATACGAACCTAATCTGGTTCACTGATGTCTCCACTTTTTCATTTTTTACGCTTAAATCCTGCATAAGATTTGAGGCGATTTCATTAAATGTATGACTTTTTTACTATAAAAGTTATATTTAAATTGCAGTTGATACTATACAAAGTAGTTATTAAAATTGAGTTAATAAATTTCCAATAAAAAATAAACAATAAAATGTATAGTCTTGCATCAAAAACGACTTAAAAAAAATTATTAATATCATGAATTAAGGCAGTGCCAAGGGCTCCGCGGCCAAGTTTTCTTGGTCTTGGCCTTATTTTATTTTTCAGCTCTGATTCTGCCTATGCTGTAGTTGTACTTTAAAATATATTTGTATACATTTCTCTAATGAGATGTCTTAAAAGAGGACATAAATGTCATTTTCACCGCTGATGTAATCCTGTCACAATTTTTATAAAAAAAATTTAACATTATACTAATTGTAGTAATCTCAACAATAAATTCTTAACTACTTATTGAAAAGAACCATTGAATATCAAATCATTTTCAATTAAGGCTTTTCAAAAATTTGCTTTACATGGAAAAAGCTGCCAAAGATTTCAAAAATTAATTCGCAATCAAAACATTCTAAACTCCAACTCTGATTATAGCGCAAGTGCCAAAATGTGGAGAGCTTCAATATCAAATTATTTCCATTATTGCAGTCAATAACGATTCAAAATATTAAATTTAATTAATCCACGGTGTAATGCACATAGACCTGTCAGGAGATGTGGCCGGAGAGGTCGTCAAATTAATTAGATCACCAAACGAGCTCAGCTTGGAACTTCTTAGCCACGAAGAGCTGGGCGATTACTCAAAGAAGAAGATTCCAAGGACAATATGAGAGGGCAACTGCGCGTCGAACGCTGCAATCAGTTTTGCCCTGGCTCCTTTGAAGCAATTTGGCGTATGAATATTTTTTATAGTAATATGTTTAATAGAAAAAAATGTCTTGAATATATATCATGCAGAACATCCAGGACCCAAATTTGGAAAGGATGTTCCAGCATATATTTTGAGGAATAGAGGCGTCATCAGCAAGCAAGCAGAAAAATGTACGGTCCTGGGTGTCCTGAAATTGTAAGCAGAAAGAAGATTTAATTTTTATTAAAAATAAAACATTTCAATCATTTATTAGAAGAGCACGATTAGAGAAGGAGGCCCGATACGGGGATTTGGACAACGACAACCTATGGATAGAGCAGCAATTTGACTTTAGGACAATGAGAGCCAAAATTGGTATCTGCCTCCAGTGCCAAACTTCTCGATCACTTCTCCTGACAGGAAATTTAAGTACCTCCGACTTCAAGCGACTTATAAATTCGAAACGCAAGCAAACTGAAAAACACAATTGCTTCAACGTATTAATTAATTTTCTCTAAATTAAATTTATAATGAATTGGTTTTTTTAATTGCATTACAGTGCAAAAAGCCCACTGAACACCGTCTGCTATTCCAGTTGAAGCAATCAGCTTTAATAATTGGGTTGGACAGTGATGAAAAAGGGTCTCTCGGGGATGCCAAAATTTCAGATCCATCGGAAATATTGAAAAAGTACCCCCACGAAATTTCTCTCGGTGGCAGGGAGTGGATTTTTTGTGCCGCTAGTAAGTGCAGTGCCCAATTTTCCAAATAAAAATAATATTAGATCAAATTATTTTACACCAATTGATTTAACACATTATTTAACAGAAAGTGAAATAATATATTTTTTATTCCAGCTCTCGGTGTATTTGGACGCGGACTGGTCCATCAACTGATGTTGAATCGGTCTGGTGATGGCCATATCAATGTGGTTTGTGACTCTCGCCCAGACCTAGAAGAGCAATCGTATGAAGAGTACAGGACAGAATTGCCAAAGAAATTTTTTTCCGATTTAAGCCATGTATCCTATATTCCTTGATAGAACCAAAGGTATGAGCGTTCTTGATCTACAACTTATACTGAATCTATGATAATTATTTTGTTTCCAGCCTCTTTCCAGCAACCCAACCCAACCAAGATTTATCAAACCCTACACTCCAACGCCACTGTCCAGCCAAAATGTCATCGTCACTTGGAGTGCTGCCGTCCGACCCACTCTCTGGCCAGCATCTATATTCCCCTACAACAGACTCGACCAAAAAACAACAATGTAAGTCAAAGCCATAAAAAGCCTTGAATCCATATTTAGACCATCTAAATTTCATAAATCTTAAATTTCAACATTCTACACGCATTTTAGTTTTAGTTTTAATATCCTTTTCCTATTTTAAGATGGAACCAAAGGAGAAGGATGCAGACTGACATTTTTGAAGCTTCACAAGTAATTCTAATTTATTGTAGATTACAAATAAGACAATATGTAAAGTTCAGGGACTGAATAATTACTTATAATTTACTTATATTAAACTTATAATTGTTTTTCCTTGGGTGCATTTACGTTAAGATTCAATAAGTCTGAATTATTGTTCGTAAAAGATTATATGAGAGTTTATTTGAAGCGTTGAAATATAGAGTTTGTTTTCAAGTTAACTGCTTTAATTGAATTTAGGTACAGTAAAAATATGACAAGGTTAAAAGCAATAATAAGAGTAAAAAAGACAATAAAGTAGATTTTGAAATAAATGCAACCCAATTCCGTCTAGTACTTCAGCCAAAGCTACTCTTTGACTGTTTCATAATTTGGGTTAACAATTTCTTTCAATGAAGAAAAATACTAGCATTTTCAGTCATACATATTTATTAAAAATCATTCAACCGCATATTTTTTACCTTGTCTTTTAGAAATAGAGAGCCAAATTTTAATTGCTAATGAGTAAAAAAAGTACTTCAAATTCACAAGTACACATATACAATATCCATTTAAGGTAGTGCTACAGAAGCTGCCTTGATGAGAAATGTGCCAAATGGCTTATACATTAAACATAAATATGAATTTTTATTAATTTAAAAAAAGAACATAAAACAATTGCATTGAATCTTTGACATGTCAATTTAAGAAATTTAATGCATTTGAAATTTATGAATCCTGTGTCACTCTCAACTTAAAAGGCACAATTGAAGAAGTAATTCATCTCAACTTGCTACATTTTGAATATTCAACTTAGCCTCTCACGCCAACTCTTACCAATAAAAAAAAACATACTTTCTTGAAATAATGTACCACTATGCTAATAAAATGAGTGAGCCCTTCGAGAGAGAGAATCATTACAAAATCTTCAATAATTTTAATAGCCTATTAACTGTTTATTTATTTATTTTTATTTTTTTAAATAAAGCATGGTCAGTCGGCCAGAGTAGAAACTGATCACACCAGGAGGCGTTTGAATTCTTGAGCCTCAAGTCCGGGCTGCACTTACGGCAATCACATTAAAACTCACTTATCTTCTCTTGGCTGCGGGCGGCGCTTGTGTGTGGTGCATGCAGCCTTCGACATTTTCCGGCCAGTCGCAGACATTTTCATTGGCATTGAAGACGAGTTGAGCTGGGCAGGGCATGTGATGCTTGCGTTCACCTTCGCACATGTAGTACATTGTGCAGTCAAGCTTGTCCCGGTGGTACGAAATGTGTCCCTCCTCTTCTTCGCAACTTACAGCATTGGCTAGAAAAAGGAAATCAAAATCTAATTTCAAAAACGTCATCTTTTGATATTTTTTTAAAAGTCGCATTTAAAGGAAATAAAAATGAAGATTTTTTATAATTAAAGTTGAAAAAATGTTACAAAAATTAATATCATTTACTTGTGTTTGACTGCGCTTTTTCATTTTAATGAAATGAATTTTTGAGAAGCAAAATTATCAATTTAAGAGGAAAAAAAACTTACGATCTTTGGTTGTGTAGCCCTTGGCACCAGGATTGGAGCTTTCGTAAGGACCTTCGTACTCGAGTCCAACTCTGTAGTCCTCCAGTTCTTGCCTCATGGAGTTCAGCAGAGGATACTTTCCAGTTCCACAAGATCCTCGGAAATCATCCATGTCAATCGACCAGATCATGATTCCGCCAAAACCTTCTTCCTTCAACCAACCCATCTGCAAATAAAATGCATTAACAGCAATTTCTAATTTAATGTATTGCAAATAGTAACCTTTGTCTTCAGAGAACGCTCGTCGTCGAATCCGACCCACTGGTCATCCCGATAGGCAAATGGCACCTGCTGTTCGTTGTCCCAAACAAGGGTGGTGTTGTCGCCATGCAGGAAGTCGCACACTTCGTAGTAGGACATGAATCCAGCCTCAGCAGTGTACTTTCCGGGACTGCCACCACCGGAGGCGGGGGCACCGATGTCAAACTTGGTCTTTTCCACAAGAGTGAATGAGCGGCCGTAAGTGGGCATTCCGATCATGAGCTTTTCCTTAGGGGCGCCCTGCTTCACCCATTCACGAGCACTGTAGTCCTGAGGGTGAAAAAGTTATAATTAGGAATATTAGGATTCAAGTTTTCATAATTTTTTTTTAATTCAGCAACAACTGTGAATTGAAACAAGCACTTACAACTGTGAGTTTCTTCTGATAGGAGGTAGCGCTTTCAAGTGGGTAGAGAGGAGCATTGTGGCCAACTTGCCTTTCCCATTGGCCGTGGAAGTCGTAGGTCATCACGTTAATCATATCCAGGTACTTGGAGATTTCAGGTACATCATAGCTGAAGGTAAAAAAAAAAATAAAATTAAATAATTAATTATTAATATTAATAATAAAAAACAAAAATCCTGGAAATAGCAATATCAAGTAGAATTTTAAATCAAGTAATTTCCTCAACATTTTAATCACTGTTTAAATAAAATGTTAACTAAACCTGGCTGTAAGGGTAAAAAAATTAGCCAAAATATCCTAAGTAATAAATAATATTCTTCTAAACGCCTGATTGTAACAAAATATGCAACCGGCTCCACTTGCAGATGTAGCAGGTTGCATATTATTTTTTTGCTATTTTTAAGGTAAAAAACTTGACTCACCCAGCAGCAATAGCCTCAAAGCTGGCAGGCACAGCGGCCGTGAGCAGCAGTCTCGGTTGTCCAGAGCTCTTGGCCTCGCCCTCAAAAGCCAGACGCAGCTCCTTCAGCAGATTCACATAGGCAGCCCTGTCGTCGGCGCCTCTTGGGTATTCCCAGTCAACATCCAGTCCGTCGAATTTGTACTCGCGCAGGAACTCGATGGCGTCGTAGACAAACTGGTTCATGCGGAAAGAGTTGCTGGTCAGCTCTTTGAAGGGCGTGGAGCCGAAAGCCCAGCCACCGATGGCCAGAAGAACCTATATTTGATGCTCATTTAGCAAAACATTTCTTTAATTATAAGAAAATTACAGACCTTCAGGTTGGCGTTCTTTTCCCTGAGTTTGACAACCCGCTCGAACATTTCTGGGTCCTTGGCATCCGACTCTGTCAACTTGTGGTCCTTGATGGTGGCGAATGCGTAAATCACGTGGGTGCAAAGCTTGGTGTCAACGTCTTCGGGAGTGAACTTGCCCTGGCCAGGTCTCTTTTGGGACCAGTTGGTCACATAGCACAGGACTTGAGCAGGACGGGCTAAATGGAAGGGGAAGAAGTTTTATTAACAAAATTATCCAATTTAATTTTTATTTTTAAATTGTTTATTATTTATTTTTTAAATTAAATATTCTCTTATGTTAACAAATGAATGCGTTTATTAGCTTACATGTGTTATTATTTATTGATTTTGTGCAAGTAGCTTTTGTAAATGTTTTTAATGAGTGGAGAACAAAACAATAAATTATTAAATAAAAAATAAAAAAATTATATATATTTTTCAAGACTGGTATTAAATTATTTAAGACTAAATTGCATTAAAACGAACCAAATAAATTAAATAAGAACTTAACGCTTCCATGAGGAGTCAAGAAAAAAAGGAAAAAATATCAATATTAATATTAATTTTATATTTACTTTTCACTAATAATCCACCATTTCATTTTGTTTCCAATTAATAAGAATAATTTTTCAATGATTTAATTGGCGTACACTCAGATTATTTATAAGTGTCAGTAAAATATACACTTGAAAGCATGACTTTTAATCATGTAAAAATTTATGACCCTTGTTGACCGGCGGTGGTCGAAAAGTCACGAGATTTACGCTGCTGATCATGACACAGCAATAAAAACAGAGGCGGCGGCCCCTTTCAAGTCTAGACGGCGGGCCAGACTGCGGCGCTAAACTTGTAACTAACTGAGAAGGCGCGAGAAAAGTGCAATCGGCAGCAGCCGCGAGAAATCTTTCGTTCAACTTTCTCTGGGTGCGCCCGACTGTTTGGCCGGACTGGAACTTACAATTGGAGTCCACGAGAGCAGGTGCAGCGGTGGCGAGGGCGGTGCTCTGCTTGCGCTGCGGCTTGGCCCTGTTCAGCAGATCGCTGACAGAGATCTTGATGGGCGCCGGCTTGGCCTCTTCCTTGTCTGAAATCGAGTTGGCCACTTTGCTCCAGTCGATGTCCTTGGCATTTCCGGCACGAGGAATTCCACGAAGCTCCTCCCTAGAAAAAAGTAGCAATAATTATTATGCATTGATGTTGAATAAAGGTCACTGCAATTAATCAGACAAGATATCAAATTGTTCTTATTTACCATAAAACTTTTCATCATATTATTTTTTCTTATCGATTGATTAATAGATATTTTTCACCAAATTGTTGTGCGTGTGGTTCTGTTCTAATTAGTGTAGAATAGTGTTTTGCTTAAAAGTAGCAATTTTTACCTCTTCTTTTATCTTAACTTTTAAATCTAAAGCTCTTAATTCATTAAAAAATATGTTTATTTCTCATCCTATCTTCATATAAAATTAGCATTATTTACTAATGGGCTGATGGCTAAATAAGTCCTGAGAATAAAAGGGGAAAATACTAAATAGCTATTACAATTCCACTCACAATCAGTGCCAATAAATATAGAAATTTAATTAATTAAGGAGACAGAAATTAATCAATCATACCTCATAGCTCCAATCAATGGGTACTTGACTCCGCCTCCGCAAATGGTGCCCGAAAAATCGTCCATGTCCACAGTCCAGACCATGGCACCGGCGAATCCGCTGTCCTTGATCCACTGCATCTTGTTCCTGATGGAGCGCTCGTCGTCGAAACCGACCCACTGGTCATCATGAACGGCATAAGGCACCTTCATCTCTTCATCCCAGACATAAGAAGCTCCAGCACGCAACATGTCACACACCTTGAATATTAGATTCATCAATTGATCAGCAAACAAATTAAATTAAAAATAAAACTAATTTCTTTCAGAAAAATGTTAAAATTTTCAACCGTATGTGACTCAAAAATACAATTATTACATACAAAATATTGTGGACATGACAAATCAGTAAAATCAGCTTTTGAAAAATTGTATTTTTAATTCTTTACAGTGGTTGAGGCTATAAATTTTGAAAAAGTTTGGTTTAATTAAAATTTTACATGATAATTGGAGTTAAAAATCAATTTTAATGTACCTCGTAATAGGCAAGGAAGCCGCCCTCTTTGGTGTAGTCGCCAGCCTTGCCGCCGCCGCTGGCGGGTGCGTTCACGCGGAAGTTGTCCTTGTTGGCGAGGGTGAAAGTGCGGCCGTAGGTGGGCATGCCGATGACCAGTTTGTCCTTGGGCGCCCCCAGCTTCACCCACATGGACGCGGCGTGGTCGACGCTCAACTGCTTGCGCCACTCAGAGTCGGACGAGGGCGCGTACAGGGGGGCGTTGTGGCCCGTCTCGCGCTCCCACTTGCCGTGGAAGTCGTAAGCCATCAGGTTGATGAAGTCCAAGTATCTGTTGCAACAGGCAGAGGGTTTAAATTTATTTTTTTTCACACTCTCTTCTCTGTTTAGCATCAAGAAATCAATCTTGTTCTAAGAAATCTATTGCAGATTTTGATAATGATTTTAAAAAGGAATCTCTAGAAAGCATGATTTAAGAAATTATTTCCGAGAGCTTAAATGCAAATCAATTTTTTTGCATTGTAATTAACAAACAAATAATTTATGAGTAAAATAAAAATAAATTATAATTTTCTTTTCCAAAGAATCTTTTTAATTAACTTTATTGAAAGATTAATTTATAATATTACAGTATATTACTCTTGATTCAAAACTAAACATAAAATAATATTTAAAACTTCAATTGTACATCAATTTTACAACGATTTAATTTTAATATTTGAGATTATTGAGCTTTCACGGTTAGCAAAAAAATGGCTCGATATTGATCAAAAATAGCTAAGCAAACTGGATCGCGATTTCACAAACTTCCTACTGCAAAATTTTCACTTTTATTGTTTATTAATTACAATTAAGCTTGGTTAAAAGCGACACTAGTGTACCTAATAACGGAATTCGAAGAAAACTGGCCATGGCCCTTTTGCAATATGGCATTACAGCGCCCGAGATTAAAATTAAACGACGAGCTGAGTCAGCTGATATAATTGTAAGTTCTGATCTCGCGGTTGCCGGAGTTAACCCGATTTTATATTTTGTGTGTGCGGCGTAAAAATGAATTCCCTCCTAAAATGTAGTTGTGGAACCAGAAGGCGACCGCATTGCTCAAGAGCGGGATTGTTGCGCCACGACTCGATCGAGATTAATTCGATATTCCACGCTGCTTTTTGCCGGACGCAAGAGAGCACCCTTCGTGATATAATAAGTTCAAAATTGAATGGGGACGAGAGGAAAAATCACTCTCAATGTCTGCCTGAAGCAATTCAAAGATTCAATTGATCTCGTTCTCTTATTCTCAATGGAAAAAACGAAAGTTCGACACGAAATTTTTCATTGAAAACCAGACTACATTGTCTAAAATAAGAATTAAAAATCAAAACTGTCTGTTTGAAGCATTTAAAGATTTTTGTAATTTAGTGTCTTTCCAAATTAATTAGAACAGATTTTTACTTAAGAAATCATTGCAAAAGTAAAACATTTTCACACTTTGTAGTTAAATAAGTGAGAATTTGTGGAGCAGAAAGTGGCCGACGCATATTTAGTCAAACAAAGCGTTGCCGAGCAAACAAACGAGTCAGAATTGCCTGAGAAGTTGACGCTGTTACATAAGTCTGCACGTTACACAATTATCCACGCAGAGCGAGCGAGCGTTATTTAATTGAGAGTGGCCGCCGTTTAATGTGTCGTGAGCGTAACAGGTGCAGTTATACAGAATTCGCGGCGGCGCTCGCTTCGATATAAAAATCGATCCCTTTTCCCCCCGACAAAGCCCTCCGGCCACTTTGCTTGGTGCAACACAATACACACAAATCACCTCTCAATGAATTTAGTGCGCACTTTCATTTTAGCAGCTGATTTAAGAAGGTTACTCTGTTAAACAAACTTCACTTCCATTTCCAAAGATTTAAAATTCACTGCGAATTTAAAGAGGTAAAAATAATTTCATTTTTTTAATATACTCTTGATGGTAACCGCCAACATAAAAATTTGAAAAATTTTCGTTATTAAAAATTTGCAAAAAAAGACTAATTTTTTAACTCACCCAGCAACAGCAGGGACATCATATCCAGATCGAACGTTGTCGGGTCCAACAGGGACGGCAGCGGTCAAAAGCAGACGTGGCTTCTTCACTTCCTGAGCCTCAGCTTCAAAAGCCTCTCTCAATTCTGAAAATTATTGTTATTATTATTTTTCTATTAAATGAACACCTTTGGCAAAAATGTTCTGCTATTTCTAGAGAAAAACAGTAAAAATATTACGCCACGAAATTCGACCTCGCAAAGTTGTCTTCCACGAAATAACAAAACAATTCGCAATTTCGAGCACACGCAATGATAAAATGAAGCATTTTTCCCTCTCACGAAATGAAATGCATGTTATGCTATTACGCAAAACAGAAATAAATGGGTTAGCGCTTTTAGCACACTGATGATGGCGTTTCACACTGACGGCGCCAAATTTTTACAATACGTGCTTTAATTAACGTTCAATAAAAAAAAAAGAATAAAAAATCGGCGGTGCCATAAAAGAGGAGCGATTTGCACGTCACGACATGCGAAAAAAGTCTTGTCTTGTATCATGGTTATGTGATTTTCAATTTGTTTCAAATTTTTTAAAATCTTTAGTTCATTTCATCAGATTTCTGCCATAAAATCCAAAACTTATATTCACCAGTTTTACAATTAGATCCCATAACAAAAGCGACGAATATATGCTAATTTATAAATATAATTAATTTGATAAATGTGCATTTCTATCAGGCTGTAATAAAAAATGATATATTTTTACAAAGATGTCATGTAAAAACTTCTGTTTCCTAGTTATCCCTGAATAATTTCTAGTGATGGTGGCACATCAGTAATTTGTAGAGAGAAATGAAACGCAACAAAGCAATGTAGGATAGGAAATTAAAAATGCACAGCCGTGTGCAGAGGAGAAAGACGGTCGATCACGTTTCTTCCAACTTTCTATGCTTATTTTGATCTGCGGAAACAGCCATTTAGGGATTTGAAGAGCATTTAGGAGAAGAGTTCACGACACCGGTAGAGAAATCAGACTGCAATTGCATGGCATGCGTTCAAACTTTTCTCTAATCTTCCAAGTCTTTCCTTTCCGAGATGAGACGTTTCCGCATGATTTCTAAAGAACGAAATTTTCAACACACCTTTGAGGAGGAAAACGTAGTTCTTCTTGTCGTCCGAGCCCTTCGGATACTCCCAATCAATGTCCAAACCGTCGAAATTTCTGTCTCGCAGGAAGGGGATGGCGCTGTAGATGAAAGTCTGACGAGCGTAACGGGACGTTGACATGTCCTTGAACTTTTGGGTGCCAAAAGACCATCCACCTATAATCAATTAGAATAAAAAATGAGATCTGTTTTTTAATCAAATCGTTTAAGTAAATTGTAATGTAATTGTTTCATTTTCGCTCTGATTAGAAAAAACAAAAAATGTGAAAATTTTGCTAAAATCAAATGTGAACTTCATTTACTTCATGTTCACATCTGCGTGCGTCAACGTCTCAACAGTACCATTCAAAAACTATTAATTTTTGCTTCAATGGCTGAAGGCTGATTGATAACATAGTTTCAAGCTTCTAATTTGATTTTTTTTATCACTCACATAATTATGTAAAATGCATTTTAAGAACTAATATTCAATTTGTGGCAGCCAAAATCCTTAATTGACGATTTGAATTACATGTATGTATGTAATGGTAATTTAAATTGTGTCTTGAAACACGTTTATTATTATTTATATTTGATAAAAAAATTCTGCTAGAAACAACAATAATTAAAATAAAGAAAAATTAAAAATTATAAAAAGCATTTAAAAGTACTTTAAAGAATTAAAAAAAAATTAAACTCAAAATAATGAAAAAATTAAATTATTTAAAATTAATTACTTTAAAAAATTGTATCTTACAAAAAAAGGTAGATTTCATTTAAATTTTAAATTATTTAAAAAATATCATTTTTAATCAGTTTCTAATTAAAAAATATTTATACATAAAAACATTGTGAAAAATAAATTTCCTTCCACATCCATCCATTATTCCTCATTATTTAGAAAGAACTCACCAATGGCCATGAGAATCTTGAGCTTGGGGTTGGCCTTCTTGAGGGTCATGATGCGGTCATAGAGGCCGGTCTTGCCGTCCTTGGTCTCGTCGTTGGACTCGAATGATGAGATTTTTCCCTTCTTGAGCCAGGCAAAGGCGAAAATGATGTGGGTGCAGAGGTCGGGCTCGATGTCCTCGGGCACGAACTTGCCGTGCTTGGGTCTGTACTGTGACCAGTTGGTGTAGTAACACACCACCTTGTAGCCGTCCTCGTCGGGGCCGCCGTTGTTGGTGCTGACGGCGTTGCTGCTGGTGCTCTTCGTGTTGCCGGTCAGCCGGTTGCGCACGCGCAGCCGGTTGACGCTGGCCGACGTCTCTTGGTCGCCGCGGGAACGCAGCGTCGAAAGCGCAGACTTGGCCGGCGACGTCGCTGGCGCAGCTGCGACGGAGGAACTACTACTTGAGGTAAGGCTACTGGCCACTGGCCTCCGCAGTCTTCTGCGAACCGGACCTGCAAATCAACCCAAAACAAACTGTTTAGACATTTTGTGCTTTGAACAAATTTTCAAAACTAGATAACAAATAAATTTTAAAATTTCCTAGTGATTTAACTGGCGACTAAAAAACAATTTATGTTTCCAAAATTGATTGATTTGAAGCATTTTAATTTTAATGTTTATTAAAAAACTTAAGTTCTAAAATTTTCTATTTTTTTAAAGAGAAATTTATGAGAAATAAGAAAAAAAAATAATAATCTTCATGATTCAGTGACTTCAGTAAGCCATACTTAAATTCCAAGTCCACCAGTATAAAATCAAAGTTTTTCAACAAATAAATAAACATAATTATAGGTAGAATGCTGAAATTTTTAATCAATTAGAATAATCTATAAGTATTATAGAGAGAGAAATGGAGTTTCTGTAAGTTCTAACCTAACAATTGAAGTTATTTCAAAGCATAAAAATAATTTAGGGGCTTAAAAAGTATTATTATCAATCATAATCATGAAATTAGTTCCGAAAAATCGTTAAGATGTTTTATTTTTTCCTCCCTATGGAGTATTTTTTTTTTTTACATTTATAATTAATTAATAAATGAAATTTTTTTGGCAGTATGTTCTAGACAATTTTTATTTCAGCAATAACATTTCCTACAAAAATCATTAGAGACAGATTTTTTTACATAATCATGCTTACTGACGCCTTAAGCCCTTTAAGGGATTATAAGGAAACGTTTTGATTTGACCGCGACGCGATTCGAGTCAGCTTGAGTGGTTCGCCAATAAGTCAATGGAAACGCTATATGCGTTTTATTGTAATATGAAGTGTCGTAAACTTTCACAAGACACCCAATCGGGGTCACTTGGATAGACGCATAAGTTCACTGACCTTTCCACTAGTTGCTACCTTAAATAAATAAAAACTCTCTCACTTATAAACACGCGGTGCTGCTATTAAATAGCAAAGAAAGTCCATGATTTACCGAATCTGCCCGGCGCAAACCGTGTAATTAACACGCGTAATTTGGATGTCGGTGTTGGAAAGTGTGAGTGCTTAAAATAAGAAAGCAAATTGGTGGATCAGAAAATGTCATCGGTCAGCTGGCCTGGACAAGACTGCATTCGGTTAAAAATGGACAATTTAGAATAATTTTTCTGTCTTTAATGAAAGGACATGTGAAAGGATTGCGGGGTAAAAAAAATTCAAAAATTGATTTAAAAACTCTCACCTTCTGAAGCGGCCACGGCGAGGGCGATTAGTGCAGCCAATAGGACGAGACTTAGACGTGAGGACGCCTGAAACAGTGACAAAAAAGAATACGAAATTAGCCAAGAATTTCAAACAGATTAGCCTTAAAGTATGTACATATGAAACGTGATGGCCCGCAAAGCTGGTTTGATGGATGAAGATGTGACGCAACGCACAAAAAAGAAGAAAAGCCGCACTGGCTACTTTTTTGGTTACATAATAACGCAGGCAATTTCGCTCTTACATTTTTTCTTACAATATGCACGATCATTTAATTTTTAATAACCGCTGTCCGCTATTTATATTACATTTGAAAGAAATGATATTATTTAATTACTGAAAAATTTCACTAAATATTTTTTCAAATGAACAAAACAAAACACATTCTATGAAATCCTTGAGCAACCCTTTATTTACTTATTTGTGTGACTTAATGATATTTTCCCCATGCCTCATTATTTTTCATTATTAGGCTCTCATCATAATATTTCAACATTCGGCAAATTAGTCGTGTAAAAATAATTTCCCAATACATCAGCAGAAAATCGGGCCTATTCGTTTCACGGAATCATCAAAGTGAATCATGACAAAAGCGATGGTAGTGGTGCGTGGATTCTGGGCCAATCGCACAGAACTTGACTCACTATATTGTTTTCCTCCTAAAGCTGATTAAGACGTGATTAGAAGCAACACGAAATAAATTCACCTGTTTTTATCTTTGAGTGCAAACAACAAAAGGCACTTCCTGTCAGATAACCTTCTAAAGGCTAATCTCGAATTCCTTTCCTATCTGTCAATTTATGCGATTTTATCATTTCCTAGTCTGCTTTTGTGCTATTGTTCTATTCGGTTCTAACTTTTATTCAGTAGAACAAAATGAGCACATCAAACTTCAGCAAGAAATTAATTCAAACTCAAAGGAGCTTGAATAGGGTGTGCCTTTGAGCAGAAGAAAGTCTTTGGTGCTCCATTTCGACTTCCGATCTTTGAAACAATAGGCTGACAAGTCTGGCATGTTAATAGCAACCGTCTAAGGAGCGAGACAGAATGAATAATTCGAAGCACACAAAGTGGAGTTATTCTTTGACACGGAATTTCCTCTACGTGGGTGAAAGGCTGTCATATGGAGAGGAAGAATTTTCAAAACTCTTATCCTTGCGAACGTTGCGAAAATTTGCCGTTTTTTATTTTATTCCTCAGCCGAAATTATTTATGACCCGCAGCAACTTTTGGCGCGTTTTTTGTTTTGCCTCTGCCGGTTGACAATAATAATTTCTTTGCTGTTTAAGAGTGAAAGTTGCTTAACCAAACTGCTTAATGTGCACTTGCAAAAAGCGCCGTTTCATGTGTCTGCGTTGCGCTTGCATGTTAATTTCTAATTTTTATTAAAGGGCCTTGATTAAGGAATAATTTCTTGGCTGTAAACGGAGGGGAATAAATTTCTTGAAAAAAACAAAAAAAAACACTTGTATTGTAATTAATGAGAATTGCTCAAATGTTGCCCAAATTTAACAATATTAACCTCAATAAGCCTGAATCAGTCGAAATGTATTGGCAAAAAAAGATATATAAAATTCAAGTTGTTCTTTAATAAAATTAGAAAAACTGCTCCATACTCAACCAAATTATTACATTTAAACTGGACTGTCATCATAAATCAAGTTGAGAACACAAAAAGGAGAAATTAAACGCTTTCGAAAAGCTAAATTTGAGCGATTGGAATAGAGAGAATTTCCATATCGAAAGCCCTCCTTTCGATTCATTTCAAGAACACGCATTTTAATTGCGGCGGGCTGACTCACAACATAGAAACGGATCGAAATTAATAAAAGAGCAAACAAGAATGCGGCGCACTCGATTCATTAAACTGCTTCTCGCTCTGATTAATTTTCCATGTAAATAAAGACCGGTGCATTCGTTTTATTTGCATTCAGGTGCAGTTTGCTGTTATTATAAATTATACTCTCCCGGATCAAACCGTGTCATCAGACAATCATTGGCCAGTTCCTTCTTATTCTATCCTTACATTAATGTAATAAAAAAGCACATAAAAAAATTATTCTTTCAATGCGAATCGTACTTTCTAATTTCCACCTTCTGACAATCGCGGCAGTTTTATAAAGGAAGAGAAAAACCAGAAGCTGTCGAAGAATCTACAAATTTATAATTCTACAGCTTTTCATTTTAAAGAGGTTTAGAGAAAAAAAGTTTTAAATTTATAATGGCATATTTAATACACTTTAAACAAGTTCCTTCAGCTCACCTTGTGCAAATTTAAGGCTAGGAGAAATTTTTACAATATACAGCCGCGTGACGCGTGAGGTCCCCATAAATTCATAATCATCGTTACACACTGCTGGCTAATAGGCAGCGGAACTACTTCAAAGTGTTTTAAATGTAAGACCGCTTTTAAAACGTTTGACACGCAAAGCGGTTCCTTCTTTCTCATTCACCAATTGAGAGAGAGAGAGAAAAAAACGTGATTACACAGTCCAATAAAACTCTTTAAAAATAACAAACTCACAGGTTTGTCCATCACCAGGAAATAGAAAGTTCCACGCGTGTGTGCCCATTCAATAAAAAAAAGAAAAATACAGATCGCTGCTGGTCGTGTGCTCAAATTGAAAAATGCTACTTCCGGAATTAATTACGCAATAATTGAAGGCGTGTGCTTTTATATTTTGCAGCCACCCCGACCGACCCTGAGTTCCGACCACACTGCATAAGAGCAAGATTTACTTCCTAGGTGTTGAGCAGCGGTGTCATTCGGCAAAAGTGGTCACTGGCTCATTTGCTCCAGTCAAGGTCGGGGCCTCTCGAATCAACGGCGATTTTTTTCTTTAATAATGTTTCGATGCCGCGTCGTCGCGCAGAGAAAGTGGGAGAGGCTTTGTTAGGTTTCAGTAGACGGTCCTTCGCAGAATGGTCTCGAATTTTCACGGAGGTCTCCGTTAAAAGTAATTGAACGGGTTTTTTTCATTACTCCTGTATCATTTTGCTCAAAAGATGGAAAATTAAACAGACAGTAGAAAGCGGCGAAAATATTTGAAAGGTGTATACTTTTGGCAGGGTCAACCGATCTTAACCATATTCTAGGACCTTAAAGATCATGCCAGGAGGTTTTCAAAAATATATAGTTTTACCCCGTTATCTCGAAATTTATGGGTTTTACGGGACATTCAAATTTGGATTTTGGAAATTTTCAATCAACTGTATCTTGGCTTCCCGTGGTTGTAGAACAAAATTCTGGATATGGTTGAATTCGTCTTGTTGCCCTCTACAACTTTGCTGCTGATTGCAAAATCGTAGGTCAAAGTGCAAGGTCACTTCCGGTGACCTCGTGACCTTTGACCTCAAAATTGAAGTTTATCCCCCAATTTTATTTTTATTCTGAAATAGCCATTTTGTAGAGCGTAAAATTTTACGCTATATAGGAAAATAAACCAGATGGCGTTTTTTGATATTAAATTAATAAAAAAATAAAAAGATTAAAAAACGTGGTTTTCCGAGCAAATTTCCTGGTAAAATGTCTTTGAGCCTCTGTAACTTTGTCCCTGAGCAAGATGGCCCAAAGTACCTAATGACAAAAAGTAATTGTCTTGACACGGTCTATCCAGAAATGTATTACACATTGTGACCAGGTCACAAAAGGTCATTGACCCCGGTGACCTTTGACCTTACCATATTTTTTCCATCTTGTGCGACACATGGTTCGAAAGAAGACATTGAGGCGGTCATTTTCGTACCCGGAATTTTGCTGTAGCTCCAACAAAACTTGAGTTATTGACGTTTTTAGTTATTAAAATTGTAAAAATTGTAAGATGAAATAACTAAAAACGTCAATAACTCAAGTTTTGTTGGAGCTACAGCAAAATTCCGGGTACGAAAATGACCGCCTCAATGTCTTCTTTCGAACCATGTGTCGCACAAGATGGAAAAAATATGGTAAGGTCAAAGGTCACCGGGGTCAATGACCTTTTGTGACCTGGTCACAATGTGTAATACATTTCTGGATAGACCGTGTCAAGACAATTACTTTTTGTCATTAGGTACTTTGGGCCATCTTGCTCAGGGACAAAGTTACAGAGGCTCAAAGACATTTTACCAGGAAATTTGCTCGGAAAACCACGTTTTTTAATCTTTTTATTTTTTTATTAATTTAATATCAAAAAACGCCATCTGGTTTATTTTCCTATATAGCGTAAAATTTTACGCTCTACAAAATGGCTATTTCAGAATAAAAATAAAATTGGGGGATAAACTTCAATTTTGAGGTCAAAGGTCACGAGGTCACCGGAAGTGACCTTGCACTTTGACCTACGATTTTGCAATCAGCAGCAAAGTTGTAGAGGGCAACAAGACGAATTCAACCATATCCAGAATTTTGTTCTACAACCACGGGAAGCCAAGATACAGTTGATTGAAAATTTCCAAAATCCAAATTTGAATGTCCCGTAAAACCCATAAATTTCGAGATAACGGGGTAAAACTATATATTTTTGAAAACCTCCTGGCATGATCTTTAAGGTCCTAGAATATGGTTAAGATCGGTTGACCCTGCCAAAAGTATACACCTTTCAAATATTTTCGCCGAAAGCTAATTTTAAATACATGCCAATAATGTCCTTGAACAGCAGGATATTACATAATAATTGAATATTTTAATCTAAATAAGTGATCCTGTTTATTTCTAAAGGCTATTGATAAGTTTTAATGATAACTTTAATTTACGTTATTTATGCGAAAATAAAAATAAAAAGGATTATGTATTTTTAGCAGATAAATTTATTATTTCAAGTTGAGATTAAAATTGTGCCTTAAAAATTACAGTCGTCGAAAATTCAAGCAATTAATAGCTGATGAGAGAAAGGAAAAGAGTCTTTGGCCCTCCAGTTTTATTTTTATTTATTCTTCATCCTCCAATTAAAATAAAATATATGATTTAAATTATTGAACAAAATTTTCCTCCTAACCAGGATGTGTTTCGCTGTCCGTCTGAGCTTCGGTCAAGGAGGAAATCCTTGTGAAGTAGCTCGAAAGGGGAACG